CTCTTCCGATCTAGAAAATGAACAAAATAATGATTTTGATATTATAGAGGCTGTGAATAATTTGAATGATACTGATGTTTGTATTGAAATTGATTGTCTTTTATAAATGTTTGAAATATCAAAAAGTTTATTGAAGTACAATTTAAACATAATTATTAAAAGAATATATTAAAAGACTGTTTATTTATATATTTTAATAGATATTAGTAATACTTATATCTAAATATGTTTGTGCAATTCTATTTTGTAATTTAGTTAAGTTCTTTTTACAAATTATTTTTTGCTTATATTGGGTACTTTGCAATTAAATGATATTAGTCTCTATAAAGAATTCATTTTCTTTAAAGAATTGTATCTGTATAATTTGTAAAAATTGCCAATAAAAATGTTTATTGCAAAAGCGTTTTTATCACTTTTATGCCTTAGTTGGAATATTTCTTGAATTTGGCGCATGGTGGCGCATTAGGCGTTCAAAGTTGGCGGACTAGTGCTTCTAAAACCTGGCAACCCTGCCCTCTTATAATTTTAGTCAGTCTATCGATGATGGTGGTTGAGTGAAGAAGATTGTGATACGTTTGTACGAGGCTGCGTGCAATGCAGTTCTCACTTTTCGACTTACAATAAACTAGTCATCTTTGTCACAGGGAACAGACGCCACGAGTTGTTATTTTCCTCGTGTACAGTCGTGGACACAACGGTTGCGACACTTTTTTTATAGGTTTCTAATATATATTTAATATACATAATATATACTTTATAGATAACTAATATGTTGCAAATGCGAACCACGATGTTACTATCTTTAGTCTAGAGCCAGTATAACACCAATCGTGGTCCGCATTTGCAAAATATTAGTGTGATTTGAAATCTATAAAAAAGAATGTGCCGCAACCGATGTGTCCACGATTGTACACCCAACATTGGTCCTTCGAGCCGGATACGGCGAGCTTGTGGATTTCGTGAAACAAAGAGTCCACAGTGATACGTACATCGCCACGTTTCGAGAATATTCGATTGTGCGTGCGAAAGTTTCGAGACTTTCTCGTGCATAAGTGATCAGCCTGTGCAAAACAAAACAGGCTAGTCTGAGACCGGCGTACATAAAATCGTCGGGCAGCAAGACATATTCAAGGTAATTGGCGGAAAGTCGAAATTCTTCCCAAGTGAAGGAACCGTTACATTCAAAGGCACGCCATTATGAGCACGACGCCATTACGAGGACAAGGACCATAAGTCTAATCGGTCGATACATCGACACAGCAGCTTTTGGTAAGTCTCTAGAATTGCTCGTTTTTATTCATCTCCGCATTACTCATTCGTATTTGCATTTTATCGATATCCGTCAAAATGAGTCACGACGATGAAATAAAAAAGTTAAAGATTCGTAGGGGCCAATAAAGGCAATGTACAGTCAACAGCAATGAATCGCTGAGTTACATAGCTGGTGAACTTACCGACGTGTTTGACTTGTTAGGCACGCGTATCTGACTAATCAGTAAGTCGGTAAGTTCACCGGTCTATGTGACTCAGCGATTCATTGCTGTTGACTGTACAAGAGCCCTCAACACAATCACATCGACTGCTGTTCGCGATATGTCAGTAGCACAATTGTTAGAGCGTAAATCGAAGATCGAAGGCATGGTCACAATTTGACGAAGTCCAAGCGGAAATCGAGTAATTACAGAATTCCGTAGAGATATCAGATATGCATGAATTTGAGAGAAAGGAATTTGAAGAGTCGTATTACGATGTTATTACCAAATTTCAAGATTTGATTCTAGCTTGTGGTGCAATTAATATTCCGGAGAGCGAAACGCATTCAGTCAATCGGAATCAGGCGGCTACCCAAGACTTCCTAAAACCGATTTGCCATCCTTTTCGGGAGCTTACGAGGAATGGTGTTCGTTCCACGATACATTTCAATCGCTCATTCATCGCGATACTTCCATCACGAAAATTCAAAAATTTCATTACTAAAAATCGTCTCTGAAAGAAGAAGCCGCGGAGATAATTCAATCGCTCAAAATCTCGTCAGAAAATTATAAAGAAGCATGACAAATACTAAAAAAGCCGTATGATAATAAGCGTTTAATCATACAAAAGTACATTAAAGCCTCCCTGCTGAAAATGTTTGATTAAAACCGATTAAAACGTAATCCGTTTTAATCGATTTTAATCGGTTTTAATCGGTTCAATCCGCGCCGGGATTAAAAAGTAATCGGTTTTAATTCCGAACGAATTATAATTGGTTTTAATATTACTTTTGCGGATTATTTCCAATCTGAAATCATTATATTCTAATCCATATTGTTGTTGTTCGCAACTGCGTTTACGGCCCTGACGCGAGCGCTCGACGGGCGACATCTCTCCCGGGCCCGACACCACGCTAAGCGGATTGAGTAGCTGAGCGGGGTGCCGGGGGAGAGGGATGGGAGAGAGAAATCCCTAAAAAATCGCGACGTAATGATGAGGTGTCTGTCTTGCGAGAACCGTGGATCTGTGCGCTTGAACAGGTCCCACGCCTTCGCCCGCGATTCCTGTTCGCGGCCTTTTCTTTCGCGAGTACGCGTAGTTATCTAGTTGTACGGCGTATGCAGCTTTGCATACGCCATGCTAATATTATGTTAGTGACATTGTGATATTAAAATATACGCTAAAAATCGAGCACTTTTTGAGTTGTTTCGCGCCTGTGACCGCTACTCCGATCCTTTATTCCCGATCATTCTGCTTACGTTGAGGGACTCCAACCCACATTTTTGGTGCGGGCGAGCCGATAAGCGAACATTTGGTCCTTCGAGCCGGATACGCGAGTGAATCTTGTGAGGATTCGAGCCTTGCGCGAATTTTACGCGCTTTTTTTTAAACGCAATTTTCTTTTGCCTCTCACCACGTGGTGAGCACGAGAGCGTTGCTTCCGGTGCGCGCGCATGCGTGTTCGAGCTTTGCGCGCTCCTGGATCGGAACATGAGTGCAGTGCGGTGTGCTTGGGAGCTCTCCGGCCCTGCTTGAGAGATCGAAAATTGCACTAATTAATAAAAAGAAGGTGCATTGGGCTCTTCGTCCCTCTTCGAATACCGGGAGCGCGCGCGCGCGAAGGTCGACTCTTCGGTCCACGCGCCGATCACGTGATCCGCATTTCGCGCGTTCATGCGCGGTGCACGCGCGCGACCTGTGCTTCGACTTGCACGATTCGGGTAACCGACGCGAATTTGAACGATCTTATTTTCTTTTGTCGCCGACTTAGCGAAAAATGGGTGTGTCATCGAACGATCACGAGGACCCCCTCAAGCAAATAAAGGAACTAATTCGGCAACAGTCCGCCCTGGTCGGATACATAGACCGCGCGTGGACAAGCACGCTAAAACTAGGGCAAGCGAAGATCACCGAGTTCGAGCTTAAGATACGGTTGGAGCGTATGGACGAATACTGGAGTCGATTCCAAGAGCAAAATTTCCAACTGGTTGCGTTCGAGGAAATCGAGAAAACAAATTATTATAAGGATGATGTCTTTTCGAACACGGAAGAGAGCTATCTCTCTAACCGTGCTAAATTTCTTACCGCGATGTCCAACCTGGCGCCTAAGGTTGCGAAAGTCGAACCAGCGGAAGCGTCCACGACACCGCTCATTAAGCAGATGCAGCTACCGAAGATGAACTTACCTAAGTTTTCGGGCGATCATCTCACGTGGGAGAGCTTTCGCGATCTTTTTCGCTCGCTAGTACACGATGTACCATCCATACCGCCGGTTCAAAAGCTGTAATATCTAAAGAGCTGCCTCTCCGGAGAGGCTGCGGACGTCATCGCGAACGCTCCACTGACCGATGCCGAATACGAGGGTGCGTGCACCGACCTAATGGCTCGGTACGATAACGGCCGCATCCTGCTTTTCGTGCATATGCGCAACCTCTTGTCGTGTCCGAGTGCTACAAAGTCGTCGCCGACTGAGATTAAACGCTTGTTAGGCGTGGCGACGCAAGCTGTGCGAGCATTCACATCGCTTGAGCGTCCGGTCAACCATTGGGACGACTGGTTGGTGCACCTGCTAGCCAGCAAGCTGGACGCGTAGACAAGGCTGCTGTGGGAAACGTCGCTGACGGATCCGCGTGCGTATCCGACGTTAAAACAGCTGCGAGACTTCTTGGAGAACCGCATCCGGGCCTTGGAGGCGGCTACTCCAGAGGCGGCACTTTCGCGCGTCGCGCCTGCGCCCGCAACTTCCAGGCCCGCTAAAAGTTCTCGCGTATCAGCCAATACAGCCTCTACAGCGAAGTCAAGGTCAACGGGAAAGTGCCTTCTCTGCCAGGAAACTCACCCTCTCTCGTACTGCGGTAAGTTCAAGGCCTTGTCTGTCGCGCAAAGAGGCGAATAGGCAAAGAGGCTGGGCGTATGCCATAATTGTCTACGCTCCGGGCATCAAACAGATGTATGCCCGGGGTCTGGCCGCTGCTTGGTGTGCGGTGGCAAGCATCACTCCGTTCTCCACGGACTCAAGCCCCAGACCGCGACAACTCCGAGCGTTGCGGCGGAGATGGAAGCCACGCCCTCCACTAGTGCCAGAGCTTTGCGAATGTCTCATCGCTCGTCGCGAGCCCGAGGAGTACCATGCTACTCGCAACGGCTCAGGTGATCCTCCAAAGCGAGTCAGGGCATTCGATTCGAGTAAGGGCCCTACTGGATTCCGAGTCCGAGGCCACCTTCGTGACGGAGCGGGCGGCTCAGGAACTGCGCGCAAGGCGCAAACGCGTAGACGTCTCCGTTGCAGGTTTACAGGGCACAAAGACGGGGACCGCTACGACTTCAGTCAGAGTGACAGTCTGCTCCCCGATCAATTCGGCCTTCCGACTTGAGACCGAGGCTCTTGTGCTTCGGAACCTGACCAACATGCTACCAGCGCGGAGCGTGACATCGTCGGGGTGGCCGCACCTTAAAGGGCTGCAACTGGCCGACGAGCAATTCGACGTCCCGGCCAAGGTCGACGTTATTCTGAGTGCGGATGTCTATGGCCGGGCACTGGAACCTGCGATATGCCGAGGGCCTGCTGGCTCACCTACGGCCCAGCTCACTGCCTTTGGTTGCGTGCTGACGGGAGCTCTTGCTTCGGATGGCGACGCGACCACTTCTTATCGCATCGCAGTGCACCACATGCAAGCGGGGGAGGGGCTCTCGGATGCCATTCAACGTTTTTGGGAGATGGAGGAGGTCCATCTCCCGCGGGTCCTGTCCTCTGACGAAGCCTGGGTGGAGGAACATTTCCGGGACACGCACTCGCGAGACAACTCGGGTCGATATGTTGTCCGTCTCCCGCGGAAACAAGGAGAAGACGCCTCCTTTGGCGCTTCGCGAAGAGCTGCTCTTGTTGCAGAGCAAAACTATGTTGCAGAGTTCAGAACGCCGTCTCGAGAAACAGCCGGAGCTACGTAGGCGCTACAATGCTTTCATGGTGGAGTATCTGGCCCTCGACCACATGGATCCGGTGGGCCCTAAAGATTCCGTCCCGCGAGATTCGTGCTATTTGCCGAATCATAGCGTCTTCAAGTCGGGGGATGACTCAGGCAAAATCCGAGTTGTCTTCAACGCGTCATTCCGCACCTCTTCAGGTTGTTCCCTGAATGACTGCTTGCTCCCGGGCCCGAAACTGCAGGCCGACCTATGGCTGATCTTGACTAGGTGGCATCTCTTCCGAATCGGGTTCATGGCCGACATTGTCAAAATGTTTTGGCAGATCCGCATCCATCCGGAGGACGCGGACTTACAGCGCATCGTGTGGCGCGCGGACGCGTCGGAGCCAGAGATTCCGCGTGGCCGGCATTTACGACAAATACGACCATGTGGAGGGGATAGGCTGGTAACGCGCGGCGGCGGCTACGCCACTGCCGTGAGCCGTCACGTGACACCACGTCACGAACGACGCGTTGCTCGGCCAGCCTCGAGCGGTAGAAAAGGACAGATCTGTTGTCCTCTTCTATTGCACGCTATAGCGCTACATGTATGCTTTTCAGGCTTTCAGCAATTTCAAGTCACCGCGCCGCGATGTGATTGCCGCGCGACTCGATTAATAATTATGTTAAGTATTTTTTAGAAAAGCTAATAATTATAGGCTCAATAAAATAACAAAATAAGAATAAAATAGAGGGCTAAAAGCCAGAGCTGGATTTAATGCCTCAAGATTAAT